TAGAGTCTGCAGGTCCTCAAAATTCTCTACTTTGGCCTCACTGGATTTTGGTGAAAAAGGGAAAAACTAGAAAACTAGTCTCATTTATTCCTCTAATTAGGTATTTCTTTTGAATAATTAGTTGCTTGGATTACTACTCACATCTAACCTCTTTTGTACAGATCTTTCATAGCTGAGTTTTCAAGCTCTGCTCTTTCTTTTTTTGCAAAGCATTTTATAAAGCTCCTCTTCCCTTAAGCATCACACTTCATTCATGCCTTTTCCTTAAACTGCCATGTATAGTAATTCTAGTGCTGTGGAGGTCATTAAAGAAAAACAAATTTTCAAAATTGCCCTTCAAGAGCGAGGTCCTTCTGTCAAAGTTGCAGTACTCTGAGTGAGTACAATAGGAATATTTTTGTTGCGATCACAATACCATGGCTTAAGTAATAACTGTAGATATCATCAGCATGGATATTTTCTCATGTTGGTAAGCTTCCTAAGTTGAAGAAGGTTTCTTCTTGTTTTTTTAAAATCTGCCTTCAAGAAAGCAGCAACTCTGAGTCAAAAGGGACAGACCACAAAAGAGGTATGCTTTTGTCTTGCTGACAATATGTTTTATAATATTTGACAGAAAACTTCTTTCCAGTCAGCCGGGCTTTTAATCAACACTGTCAGCTTGATTGACTTGACTCAATAGAAGTTTAAATGAAAAACACCTTTCCACCAAATTAATCAGTGTCTTTTTTTTTTTTTTTGTGCTGATTATTTTACTGTTAATTTTGTAAGTTTTTTGTTTAATTTCTTAAAACAGATAGATAGAAAGCTAAGATTTCTTAAGAAATCTTAAGATGTCTTCATCTAATACTGCTGCTTGAAATTCCCCATAGTATGACTAGTCCTGGTGGCAGTCTGAGGCTAACACATTATTAAGATGCAGGGAATGCTGCAGTATTCTTAGTGTCTTATCTCCTTGTGTATCAGTACTTACCCATCCATATATACCTAGTTCACCATTTTTGAAACTTTTTGAAAGTGTAACATTTCCTGGGTCAGCTGTGTCTGTGCTACTTCTGGACAGAAAGGCTAAAATCCTTAATTACTGAGAGTAACGAAATCACAATTCCCCAGCCTTCAGGAAACTGGATGAGTGCTTATAATTAGTTAGTAGTCTCTTCAGCTGCTACTCCTTGGCTATCTTTAGTCCTTGCAGCCTTTTATTCCAACTCTCACTCATGGTGGTATTAACGGCTGTGTGGCTACAGTGTGAGTCAAACCCTAAAGTCTAACCTCGGGCAGAAAAAGAGATTAAATTTCACTTAATTTCACTTAAACTACTGTTTAAGAAGTACTAGATCTAATTTAATAAAACTAAAAAGTAGAACTGTCTAAATATCTGCCATCACTCTCTTATACCTCAACATGAAGAATAAATAGGGCCAATGCAATTCAGTGGCCTAGTTGAACATCTCTCCCTCCTAACTCCCTTCCAAATAAAACAAACAAAAAGTTCTTTTTAACTGAAAAGGAGCAAGAAGCTATTTCCTGCTAGGATAAAGACTGGGCAAAATCTGCCTAGTTTATTTTGGCATTAGCAGAATTAGAAGACATGTCAGTGTTTTACAACTCTTGGAATATAGAATTAGCAAAGCATTTTGGAATATGTTACTGGCTGACTCATCACACTGACATAATTGAAGTTCAGGGATCCAACTCAGATTTACAATAAAGAAAAAAAAGACAAATACTCTGCTGCAGTTTTGGTTGGAGGTGTTAGTGGTAAGAGAATAAAATATTATTTATTTATACAAGTATTATTTATATATTTATTATTTATACAGGGACAGGCATATGAATATACTGTAGTTGTTCTAATTATAGAACTTGCTTCAATGTTTCAATGTTCACACAGGCAATATGTAGGAATTGCAATAGATAATATGTCAATACCCTTCAAGTATCTCATGCTACTCCTTCAGCATGGGGTAGCTTCTCTGTTTTTGTTGCAATCCAGCAAGGACTTTAGATAACTTGCTGTCTGAAATTATTGCTTCAGTTTGCTCATGCTCACTTAAGTGCCACTTCTGGCTGGAAGCATTTTAGGATGCATTTCAGTGGGTCTTTTGAATGTTACTGCTGTACCTACTTAGCTCTGATGAAAGTAAGGAAGTCTCTGAAATTTCTCACTGTTTTTCTAGTCTTTGTTTAAAAAAATGTAAAAAAAGAAACTATAGCTGTCTTTAAGAATATTTGCTTCTGAGAAGTTTCACATGAGGACAGAGTCTAATTTGCCTCCATGTATGTCAGAGGAGGCTTTGACTTCTCCTTGGATTATGCATGAAGTACTGAGTACAGACCTACTCCTGCACTCCCTGGTATTTTGACTGTTTTACAGTGATGCCTGCCCTCATGGAAGCACAGTGTGGATTCTACTCTTCTCAGATGCCTTTTACCACCTCTCTGCTGTGTGTCAGCATCCTCCTACATCATCAGTCCTTCAGAACTGAAAGAAATACTTGTAATTAAGACCCTTCCTGCACAGGGCTCAATCTAAAGGCTTTTAATGTGGATGCCACTACTGTCCTCAACTGAGAAAGTGGAGGAAAAGAGGTGGAGCCCCTATTTGCCCAAATCTCTGTGCTGTGATAAAGGAAACAATCAGTGTAGGGTATAATTGGCTTGCCTGGGATGTCAATCTCTGCCTCCCATTGCTCTTCATCCCTTGCTGTCACTGACAGTGCTCACCTAGTGACCTAGAAAGGGAATATCTGAGCTGGCTGAAGTGGGTGTCTCTGCTCTTCTCCTGCAGGCAAGCAGAGGAGATAAGAAGCCTGCTTTAGGGGCTGAGGAAAGAGTCATCCTGTGCTGGACCTCATGCCAGGTAACAGAGAAGCATAGGGAAATCCAGTCTCTGAGTCAAGCTAGACCTGTTTGAAGGTAACAGCGGTGTCCTGGACCTCTACTGAAACTTCTAAGGGATAGGTTGTGGATGTGCTTGGATACAAAGAATTAATAGGATTAGTTCAGCTGGTTAGAGCATGGGGCTTCTAATACCAAGGTTGTGGGTTTACTCCCCATATGGGCCATTCACTTCAGAGTCTGACTCCATGATCCTTGTGGGTCCCTTCCAATTCAGTATACTCTGTGATTCTGTGATTCCAGGGATAAAGTTTGTGCAGTGTTGCTTTAGCCATAGGGGCTTGCAGGGGTACATACATAGTGCTAGCTGCCCTACCTACCCTTGGTCATCACCTGTGTAAGATTGAACAGAGGTTTCTGACAGGCAGGTGGACTTCTGCTCATCTGAGCTCCCCTCTGCTTTAAAGGCATGGCAAATCCACTGGGAGGTGTCTTACTGCTTGTATCCATCAAATGACAGTCAAGATCCTTAAATGGAGTGAAACCAAATGGTGCCATTTGGTTGCCTACAACTTGTTGCCTCAATGCAACAATGAATGTGAGAACTGAAAGAGTGCTGCTTACTTGGCCTGTAAACTTTGTCTTCTTGAAAGTTACTCTCTCACCATGGGGTGAGCCATAAGTTTAAGAACAAAGCAAGCAATATGATATTTATTCATGACAGATACTTATGGCACAAGTTCATAACATTTTACAGTTGCTGTCTTGGTGTTTGCTATTTTGATGGCATCTGTCACAAAAGCAGACCACCACGACTCAAACAAGAAAGGGAATCCCACACTTGAGCTCAAACCTAGCGCTACCAATATTCTGCATTCCCATTTCCCTCTGTTACTTCCTCTGTACCTTAAAATCAAATGTGTGAAGAAGAAAGACAACATATTTTGCAACTACTTTACTTATCACCAAAAGGTAGCGAGGTGTGCAACATGTTTAGTGGCGGGCATCAGTGTAATGGAAAGTAGTACAAGCAGTGAAGAATGGCACTGTGTTCTGTTATCACTACAGCAGGAATGTAAGAGGATGATATGCCCCAAACTTTTGTCAGGAAATGGTTTGCCATGTCTGCTTGTGCAGTTCTTTGTATCATTCAAAAGAGGTTCCTTAGAACAAGCATACTGGCTTGCCCTTTGTAATCCTCAAGGGGAAAGAGGACCACCTAGAGAATTATTCATGTTTTTACCTTCCATAAGTTGTCTCTTTTCTTTGAATGTGTACCAACTTGACTCAGCTGCTTTCTAGTTATATTTGAGAATCTTACTCAACTACAGAGACCTGGAGATGGTTAACAATTTCAGCAGCACTCTAACTGGGTAACTCCTTAAGAACTACTCCTAGGAAAGCGTTGAAACTTCTTAGAGTGATGGCTGATACAATTTGGCACGCAGCAATGGGAAGGATAACATTCATTATACAAAGAGCTTTCTGAAAAAAACCATCAAATACTTCAGAGACCTGCTTTGGACCTAGCACCACAGACATACTGTTGTATGCTATTGCAGAGAAGAGGTGACCTTCTCCAGGTCACAGGCTACCTGAGTGTCTGAGGTGCTAATTCTTTCACTCAGGGTCTGCTTCTTAAAAGACAGCTTTTGCAATATGCAACAAAATGTGTTAAGGCTAAGACAATATTTTGACAGTTATTTTCCCTCTGCTCTGATGGCTTTGGCTGAAAGCACCACATCAGTAACATTAACTAAAGAGAAGTGTGCAGACATCTTGGCAGAGTTTTGAGAGATGTCTGATTGGGCTGGTGCAATGAAAGAAATCCCTGTTCTTCCTTGTGCTCAGAGCATGAGCCCTGCAGGTGTAGAGAGGCATGTCCCCGGGGATCAGTATGGGGATGCTCCAGGGGAGCCAGAGGCAGGAATTCTATTGCAAAACTGAGTTTTAACCTCCACTGTGCAAACCTCTTATTCAAAGAAGCTGATACATCTGTGACTAATGTGTTGGACTTGATCTCTCTTCAGTGTACTGACTTCCCTTCTGAGCATTTTCAAGCATTGGCCCTTTACTGATTTGTTTATTTTAAAAGTGGATTTTGTCCCTGTTGGAGCCTTTCAGCCCCTGCTGTGCGTCACTCTCTCAGGAGAGCACACTGACTGCAATGAAGTAGATAGCTGTTTGCCAGAAGTGAGTGGCTCACTTTCTGTTATTTCTCCTTTCTTTTTTTCAGTCAATGATTTTTCTTGGTTGGGTTTTTAATCAAAGCCAATTTCTCCAATAGCCTGTTCTCCCTCATGTGTTTGTGGATGTATGTGCACCTGGGAGAGAGGGAAGCAAAGAGGGAAGCACAGAGTGAAACAGTTCTTGGGCTATGTTGACAGATGAATTCTTCCTCAGTTGTCAGATTTCAAGCCTGTCAGCAGTGCTGCTGGTAAGTAGGAAAAAATACGGCTAGGGAGGGGAGGGTGAGGCTGACCTGGTGGGGACTAGACTGAAAGTGGCCTGTGAACTGCCCCTTGCACCGCGACAGACAGTGCGGTAAGGCAGAGCTGCAGCCTTAGGAACCCCTGCAGCCGTCAGACTCCCCACAGCAGCCCCTGCATACACAGCTCACTTGTCAGCAAGGGATTTTCCTCCCCTCCTCCCTTGATAAAGATCCCTCGGCTGCTATTATGGGTTGTATCCTTGGCTTATTGTAAAAGCAAAACGAACCAAAAAACAAAGGGAAAAAATCTGCGTGGTTTTGCAATCTGGAGATGAGCCTTTGATCCTCTCGCCCAGCCCGAGGATGGTGGCATGCTGGCACAGCTGCTCCCTGCATACACCTGAGCTCTCCAGGGCTGCCCACACAATTCCGTTTGCAGAAGGGGGGAGAAGTGTGTGCCAGAAATGTTAACTGCTCCCCACCAGCATTAGAGGTGGAGAGTGTGCATGTGTGGAGACAGCAGCCGTCCTTGCAGAGCTTTAACCAAAGTGGTAACCTGCAGCTATGGAGTCACCGACTAAGGAGATTGAAGAATTTGAGAACAACTCTCTGAAATACCTACAGCCAGAGCAAATAGAGAAAATCTGGCTCCGTCTCCGAGGCTTGTAAGTAGTACTTTTTCTTTTCATCTCCTTCAATTTTCTTCCACTGTCAAAATTATTGTGGCACTTCATTTTTTCTTTCTTGCTGTACCTTCAAAATCTCCCAGCAGTTTCCACACCTGTTCTCCATAAATAAAGTTACTTGATCTTAGCAAAAGATCCATTTACTTCCTTAAATTGAACTGCTTCTTACATTGAACATTTGCCAGTGGAAATGTAGAAATGCCATTAATGAAGCATTTTAAGATATAAGCAGCTACTGGAATGCTAATTTCTTCAGGTGTTATACTAGAAAAGTTTTGTTATAGCCTATAGTTATGGGTACTTAATTGAATCCTCTGCTTTCAATAATCTTACCCTTAGCTGCAGCTTAGAGACTTTTTCCCCACTGCAATATACACCATTCCTAGCACTGGCATGATGCATAAGGAAAAAATAGGCAGAGAAGGCACAACTGGAAAACATTTCCAATAACATTTGCAATGGCAGCAAATTCATCTTTCACTGATTTGATTGTACTTATTAATTTATGTTAAGCCTGACTTGCCATGAGATGACTGTATACTGCCTTCTGAGTAGAAAAAAGTATCTGTGCTTAAAGAACCTGACACTGCAGAAAAGAAAAAGCTGTAGTGTCTGCCTAGCTAATTTAGAAACAATGTGTTTTTCATATTCTCAGTATGTAAAATTCTGTCAACCATTTGCCCATCATTTCTTGGCCATGTCAAAGAAGAGGGTTATCATGTTAAACTACAAACCTTCCTGTGCTCAGAACTGTTTTTGTTTGTATTTTTTTTCTTCAGCCTCACATGTTAGAGTTATTAAAATTTCAACCCTCAAGGGAAAGGTAGGGGAGAAGAGATCAATGAGGCTTGGAAACAGCAGAAGCTGAAAAATGAAGAAAGTAGGCCGGTAGTTGAAAACAAATGTGCCCAAGTTAAACGAGTTGCTTTTTGGGTGTTACTTTCTGTGAGCAACTATGGTATGTTTTGCAAAGGATAGCCAAAACTTCTGTAGAACTTGAAGCAGTATAAGAGATATGCATTAACATGTGTTTCTTTCAAAGCATCATTCCAGCAAGCCTGTTTTGTGAAGGAATCTAATCAAAAGTAGATGACAGCTGTTTTATGAGCCTTCCTAACAGAAGACCCACACAAAACAAAGCTTCTATTAGGACTTCTTGAATTTCTGTTTAATATAGAGTTTAGGAGCATGCTGATTTGGATTCTACCTGGAGTTCATAGATAAGCAGCATTTCTGTTTAGGACCGCTTCTGCAGTTGGTACAAGGCAGTGTCTGTATATTTTACATCAATCTTGTGTCTCTTCTACCTTTTAGAAAGTTAGAAAAACTGTAAGACTTATTCTAGATGTGCAATAACTAAACATCACAATGTTTTTCAGTATAACCCTATTTGTCATCAGTGTGCATGAGTGTAACAAATATGTTTCTTCCGAGTTTCAAGATTGCTTAAAAACAAGAGAGTTTTTTCTGTAGAATTCTTAATCACTAGATGAAAACAGAAAAGAAGATTTTCCATTCCCAGTTATTTTATGGAGGCTTAGTGCATCCATACACACCAAACAGGTTTGGCATAATGTTTCATGATTTTTCTTGTCTGTCTTCATGCATGCCTATTTGCATAAGAAGAACAATCAGATGTGCACAACCTTCTTAGCTGGAGCTTAAATAAGAGGCTTCATCCTGGAGAGAACAACTACTTGGGAAAATACCTCTCTCCTCTGCCACTAGTAAACTGACAGCTGTACCTCACCAGAATTAGTTACAAGGTACGGGAGTGCTACCAGCACAGTGTTACACAGATACTAAAAGCATATTGCTGGCTGAAGCTACCTGAGGAGTTGTATTCTGCAGGAGGCAGTAGCTGATTTGATCCTGATATCTCTTCTTAAATGGGAAGGACTGTGATGATTTAAACAGTCTCAGTTCTTGGCATTGTGTTGGTCCTTCTTGATAGGACTTCACCTGTGGTAGCTCTGGTACTTTCCTCTCCTCTTCCCACCCCCAGTGTCAGCTGGTGTTTAATCACAAAGACTTTATGGAAAAAACAATATTCATCACTTGGCTTTTAAAAGGGGCAGGGGGGAAAGCTTTTTGAATTTTCACCCCTTCCAGTCTGCTTGGTTTGAAGGGAATGGAAGCCCAGAGGCTGCAAAGTGGAAGTTGAGTTGAGGCTCTTTTCAGATGCCCTTAATTTTCTGCTGAAGCAAGTCTGGTGGGGACTTCTTTTGCATGTTCCTGGTATTCTGTCTTGCAGGATGGCTGGCCTCTGGGGGTTTGGGCATGGAATGTGTATTTTCAAGGTAAAGGGAGGTCTTTTGGACAGTGGAGAAGGACAGACTTTTGTGAGGCTGAAGCCAGGTATCTGTTACAACATGAGTCATAAGTTGCTGTAAAAGGCAGACAAGCTATTGAATTTGTCTCTGGAGTGGAGTGGAAGGGTTTGCTTCTCCTTTCTGTTTTGTATCACTCTGAAATGTGGTTTAGTCAGGACAACATAGCTGCTTTATAAGCAGAGCAGTGTGAGGTAGTGGTTGTTAAGACATGTACAAGTTTCTTTTGCTTTTACTGTTTAAGAACCAGCTAAAATGCTAATACAGTAAGAGTACTGAAATGTTTTTACTTGGTACATATATCTTCATGATGCAACAATTCTGTGCTGTACTTTATAAGATAATCTAGGCAAATGACCTATAGTGTTTTCTCAGATTCAAGAGAGCATAGTAAGTTGTCTCATTGGGCAGTAAATCATCTGTGGTAAAATCTTTGCATGTCTCAAACCAGATATCTATAAATAAGTTTTGTCTTTTACACATGACCTATTAGATATCAATTTAGATTTAATCATATATTAAAATAAAAACTTTTATTGATTTACTTTTAATAAACTTTCAATAATAAATATATTAATAATTTAATAAAAACATAATAAAATTTTTAATAAAATATTGATTTACTTTTTAATAAACTTTTAATTTGAAAGGAAAGGTTTGTGAATAAGCTGTTGCTGGGCAAAGGTACTATTAGAAGTATATGAAACTATCTGGGGAAAATATTGAAAGCGGAGAGCTTTTTTTCCTATGTTGCTGTAGAATATTAGGGGGAAATTTAATCCAGATTTCTCTTTATGGGAGCTCACATAGCAATAGGCTGTGTAAACCAGAAATGCAGCCATCAGTGTCCTTTCTTCTATGGAAAGGAATGCAGCAGATTTCCTTGCATCAGAGGCATCCTACAAGCAGACCTGCTTCTGAGTTTTAATGACATCATAAATGAATCAGACTGGAACAGCTTCATATCCCATCAGGATATCAGAGGGCTTTTGCTCTTGCCTGCCAGAGGGCTGCCTGTCTCTCAGGAATGCTGTGGATGCAAGTAGTATTTCACCACCCTGTGCCTTCTTGCACAAGGACACAGGTGCTCTCACCCCCTGGCTACTGATGGGCTGCTAGCTGCCTCTGCACTTTCATTTCATCAGGCAGGGCCTGCCTTTTATCAGTTTCCTCTTTTACCTAATCAATGCTCACCCTGCAAGAAACTGTTTCTTTGGGATGTGTTGATTGTTTGCTTAATGCTTTTAATAGTTGCAGCTGCCAGAAAAAGATCTTGAGTCTCTTGCTCTGTTCTATCCTCCTTACTCCATCCATCCTGTCCAGAAGACAGTCTTTTATTCAGACTTGCCTTATTCAACTCTGGACTTGGACACTATACAAAGCATAGCCAAAACCTCTGCAGGACTCCAAGCAATTACATGTGAGTCTTCCTTCCAGTCTCCAGTGGTTGTGAATAACTCTGCTAAGATTGAGACCTACCCTGCAAAACTTATCAGTTAAGGTTAGGTGGCAAGTCATTACAGGTCAGTGCTAGCAGTGGAGCTTGGAGACCTTATTTCAAAATACATGGTTTCAAAATTGTATGGTTGCTTTTCAAGCTGATGGTTTCTCTGTGGAGTTATGAGCAGTGGTGGCTGTGTTGGGGAGTTGTTTTAGCACTTGGAACCCTAGCTGTGAGACTTAAACATCCATCTGCTACTTACTCTACTCTAAAAGCTTCATGGAGTGACTTCAGTTGCCTTCTGATTTTTTAAGAACAGAGAAAGTGCTGAAGCCCTTTTCAATACTAGGATTAGATGTTGCATCTGAGGACAAAGAAGAATGCAGAGGCACATATCCAAAAGGCTTTGTGAGTTTTAGTAAAGACGTGCTAGTTTGTGGCAGCTGAAGATGCAGCTT